TGCCTGGATGTTTCTAGTTTTTATATATTTGTATTGTTATTTATTTGTTGGAAGCTGCCCTGAGGCTTATGCGAATGGGGCGGCATATTAGAATCCCAAATAAATAAATAATAAATATATTTTTTTCCTTGCTTTACAAGGGTGTATACATATGCATATATGTCCAAAACCCAAACAAGCCAAAACTCACCCTAATTAGCCCTGTTAGAACCCCCATTTCAAAAGGAAGCTGGAGCTTTAATAGCTGTCAGAGCTCTGATGCACCTGTGATGAAGTTAGCTTACTAAGCCTCGAAAGCTCATTTCAGAGCCTCTCCTGTTTAGCCCCCCTCCCGCCACCTTTAAACTGCAATTTCTGCTGATTATTTTTGCACAGAAATGTACATTTCATCATCCTTAGCTGGGAGGAAAGGTATGAGCCCCTACCTCTTTCTCTCCTTTTCCTATTTCGAGTATCCTGGAGTAGTCCAGTATCAAAAGCAGCTACCAATTAGCTCCCATAGAAACACATCACCTGACTATCCTGGGCCATTAACATTCCATTGTTGAGTCCAAGCCTCTGGGCAGACATTGTGTTCAGGTGGGGGGGGGGTTGTGGGGACCCTGCCCCCACTGCTTGTGGCAGTGGCAAAAATGCAGTGATTTTGCAAGGAAGCAAGACACACGGGGAGCAAATGGAAAGGCAAATAAAACTGCAAACAGAACCGTGCTCCTGCAAGTTTCCTGGGAGTGTGGGTCTCCTTACACACACCTCTCATAAAATCTTGGCAAGGGTTGTCATTGGCACCAAACATTCGGGGTAAATTTGGTGGCAGCAGCAACAGATTTAACGGAGAGGTATGTGTGACTGTGTTGTGTTCTGAGAGACCAACAGAGCCCCGGGCCCCGGGCCCCAGAGACTGACAACCCTTGCCTTGAGGTGACCCACGGTGATCTGGGCTGGAGCAAAATCTGTATTCTAAGTGGCAGACTTTCAAAATTCAGTTCACAAACACTTGGGGCTCAGTTCTCTGTGATGCTAGCAGCAGGGATGCTCAGAGCGGGGCAGTGCTGTGCATGAAGAGCAATCTGTTACAGCAGGTCTCCTAGTGGTAGGGAAGCAGCAGGGAAGATGCAAGGGAAGAAGGAAGAGGAGAGGTGACCCTGCACTGGCAACATCAACGGTCCAGGCTGCCAGTGTTAGAATCCATGTTCTGCAGGCTGTGATTATGACCAGATGAGCAATCAGCGTTGTTTGTACAAAGGGAGATTCAGATGTCGAATGGCATAGCCATGCCTGCTGTTTGTGTGTGTGTTAAAAATCATACTGACTAATGACACAAGTGGTACACGCATGGCATCTTCAGTTTTAGTTGTCCTTGGGCTAGCCCAAATGTGTGTAGCACCAAAAAGCACACTGTAGTATCTGTTTGCTTTTCAAGTTGGCCCTGTTCCTTTGCATCATGTTTTCTTTCATTTTTGTTTTCCTTTTTGGGTGACGGAAGTGAAAGCCAGTGCTTTAGATTAAATGTGCACGTCTGTCTGTCTCTTACAGGTTGGATCCAGTCTATGTTACTTTGTTCCTGCTAAAATCGATGAGCTTATGTCAAAACTAATATTTCATATTTATTTCAGTGGGACTTGAGTACAACTAAATGGTCAGAGGTGGATAGAACATAGATTTGCAGGTGTTTTGGACTTCAGCTCCTAGCATTCCTGAGCCCTGGGCATGCTGGTCAGGGCTTCTGGGAGCTAACATTCCAAAAACCAACTTCTGCCCATTCCCATGGTCTAGATGCAGCCCACTGATTTTCTTTCATAAAATGTTGTTTAGGGCTATTAGTATAAATTAATCACAATGCACCCAAGATAAGAAAAATAGTTTCTTAAAGAAGGTGTGCATGTAGAAAGCAATTAAGAGAGCAGTTCTACAGCCCCTTGACAAACTGTGGGGGTCCTAGGATACTTTGGATTGCTGGATCCAAGGTCTGCAACAGAGCTCCAGCCACGGAGCTTGTGCTCTACAATCTGATTTCCCTTCTTCTCCTCAGAGCCACAGGCAAAGAATCATGCTGGCTGTCTTCTCAAGGTCAGAGAAGAGGGGGTGAAGGGGGCAGTCCTAAGGGAAGGTAGGAGACTGGGCTACCAGGAGGCTGATGGTGTTCGAGCTTCCTTCCCTCACCCTCTGAAATGCTGCACCTAGATGGGCAGAACCAGCCATTTCATCAACTGCAGAGTGGGAGGAACAAGGTGGTGAAGATCCTCTCCACCATTTCTGCTCTGCTTTGGATGCTCTGCACAAGCCTCCATGTTTGGGGATTTTTGCTGGAATCCTATGGCTGATGTGAAAGCCAGGGATATAAAAAGCTACATGTCAGAACTCTGCACATTATGTACGTTAAAACATGGCCAATGTTGCAGTGGCTTGGAGCTCACAAGGGATGAGGCAAGCTCTGTCACATAGATCCTAATGAAGTAAATCTAGTTGAGTGAAGTAGATCAGGTCACTGTAACTCGGACCCAGCAGCCACATCTGATTAAGGTCAGTTGGGCTGCAGTAAGGAATACCTGTCAGGCTAAAGGCAGTCAGGCCAAGTCATACCAGTTCACCGCCAGCTTAGCTGTAGAGGGTTCAGAAAAGGAGCACTATGGATAGCGCTCAGTTAGCCGAGCTGAAAAAAGGATGCTTCTCTTACCAACGGACTAGAGTCAACAGAAGCCTTAAAAGTCTGGCCGAGGTTGAACATCCATGCCTGCTGGACATGGACTGTATTTCTGAAAGGGTCTGTGGCCATACCTGCAGTATTATGCTCCTGCATGGCTTAGAGAGAGCTGAAGTGGTAGGGGAGTCCTTCCTAAGACTTGGAGGCTGGGCTTCATCTCAGGCCAGGAGGGGGTACCAAAAGATCCTCCTGAAGCAGGATGATCTGTGAGCCTTTTGGATCTGAAGCCATCCTCAAAAGTGGGGGACAAGACTAGGGGGATTTGGGCAAATTCCAAAATGCCAAATGTGCATGCAATATTCTGCTCTTCATCTTCCACCCCATCCCAACCCCAGAATGGTATTGCTACTTTGTGTTACATGGAACAGTGTGAAGTAGAGAATGGGTGAGATAAGCAGGACCTGGAGACCTGTCATGGATGCTCTTCTCCTTGACAAGAAGCTTAGTCTTCTTGCTAGACTGTTTCTCTTTCTCTGTCATAGAGTTGAAGGGGCTTTCTAAACCATCTAGTCTCTTCCCCTGCTCAGTGTAGGAAATGCAGAGTATCCTCAACATAAAAATCTTCAGCCACAACAAGCTAAAAGTCTTCCCTTGCAGGCATGAAGGCTGAAGATTGTTCTAGGAAATGAAATTCACAGGATCTTATGGATAGCTTTACTCCAGAAAACCCAGGTTCCACAACTTTCTAGCAGTGGTCACATCCATGAAGCTTTAAATTTTTTTTGAGAACATTTCTGCTATTAAGAAGAAAAATCCTGCCAAAAGCAAGACTATGAGGTTGTATCAACTGTGAGCTCATGAAGGTGTCGGCAGGTTGCAGAGGGTCAGAAGAAAGTATCTGGATCAGCACTATCCATAGCTATAAGCTGTGCCTCATTTCCTTCTCTTCCAATATTGCTGTTTTATTTCTGGTTCTGAATGAGAAAAAGCATGCAGTGCCCTTGTACTGAGGCATCTTCTGTTTGCAAAAACGTGTAGTCTTGTGTTCCTCTTACCGCTTTCATCTGAGAAATGTTCCTAGCAACCTAGTCTGGGGAAAAGGGTATTTTGGACTGGAACAAATCCCCAGCATTTCAAGGACAATCTACTATTAAGAATACAATATCAGTGTGCAGCCGTATTTAATTGCACCATTAGACCAGGCTGGGTCACATTAAGCCCAATACCCATCCTCAGTAGAAGGCTGAAAGCAACAGTTCTGAGAACCGCTTTCTAGTGTTTTTCTCCCCATGATATCTTACCACACACAGGCTTTCTAGCATCACATTGGCTACAACCTTTCCAATATTGACCATATTTACCTCTATTCCTGACAAGCTGCATCTGCAAATTTTGTATAAGATACAAGGATAAAAAAATCTTTAAAAGATAAAACACTTTTGTGTAGCCAAATGTATCCACACACAATTCTTTAATTGCTCCACTTGCTCGCTAGTTTGCAGCAAGTAGAGTTTCTTCTTACAAGCAGAAAAAGATTTCATTTATGATAAGCTCCCCACTTCCCCAAGCATTCCAGAGCCACTTTAAAGGGGAACCTTCTAGAGGACAGGACATAACAAACATAGATCATTTCTGAAATATCTGTTTACTTATAATTATGCAGGTTGGGCAGGTAGGAAACAAATTTCTGAAGCCTCAAATTAGAACTGCTTTCTTTGACCCTTTCCAAAATCATTTGACCCACGGACTGTGCAGATCAGTCTCACAGCTCCTTCTCTCCCCTGAGTTGACCATATAAATGGCAGAGGTGATCTGCTGCCTTGATCACTCATTAGAGCCCATAGTTAAATTTGGAAAGGAGAGTGCTGTTAACATGTTACTATGGAAACAAAACTCTCTCCTAATGAGTTTTTTTCCCCCTTTGTTTTTGGGGAGTGCAGGAAACCGAGGAAATGGGCACACAGACGGAGGCACAGTACTGGGGGCAGGCAGCAGAGAACAGGAGAAGGGGCTCAGGTGGATGGAGCAAGGTATGCGTGTCATGCCTAAACCACTGAGGTTTTATTTGCAACTCTGTATGGAAGGCACAGGGGACCTTTCCCATATTCTCCAGCGATTTGAAAGTTATGTATACAGTCTTTATTTAGAACTGACAACCGCAGTGATAGTCAAGCAGCTGTGTTTGTTTTAATAACGTTTTGCAGAGTGCAGAAATAATTATCTGCCTTTCCTTTCCTTTCCTTTCCTTTCCTTTCCTTTCCTTTCCTTTCCTTTCCCTGCTAAAGCTGAACTCTGTTAACACTTTGACTTCCACATGAAAAGAGCGCTTCAAAAGCATTGAGACTATGGAAAGAAAAGGTACAAAGGATAGGAGGCTTTATTGGAAAAATTGATTAGTAGTCACTAGTATCAAGCCAGAGGTTTCTCTGGGAATATTCTGGTGCTGAAAGTTGCTAGGTACTGTTTGTTCACGCAGATTCTTCAACTGGCCAAACATTGTCATACATTCTGATAGCCCTCACCCACGACTGACTCCAGGTTCAACGTCATCTGTGAGAACATCATCCACATTAACCCAGACTGTATGCTTCAGTGTTTCTTGTAGTGTTGACAAAAGAGATAATACATACAAATGTGACTGTTTGGGCTGTCAGATGCACCCTATCTACAAAGCAAACAAGAATGAGAGTTGTGTAGTTCACAGGATCATTTCTTTCCTAGATTTATTCTTTTCATTTATAAAGAAAACATGCACACAGATCCGGATCTTTCAAGGTAAAAGCTGATGAGGCATAAACAGAATAAGAGGGAAATGTCTCAGTCTAGTCTAATATTTCCTGTTCAAACTCGTGCAGGAACAGTTGTGGATATGGGCATTTTCAGAAGATGTTGATGAAAGAGTTTAGACTGTTCTTTCTGAATTCTTGCATCTATATTCCTCTCCCTTCTTCAGCCTGTCTTCTGCCATGCCTGCACTATCCTTCTTTCTCATTTCTGTGACCTGCATGGTCATGGCCATATCAACCATCACAACTCTCCATTTCTTCTTCCTTCTGACCAGTAGGAACTACAGCAGTAGCAGCAGCAGCAGCCCCTGTGAATGTTCTGGTGTCAAAGACTGGAGAGAGGATGGATCAAGATATAGGAAAAGAATCAGCAAGATTGACTGAAAGTCTCAAAGGATTTGTGAAGCAAGCTTAAAGCAAGAAAAAAAGTGTTAAAAGTGATGCACTAAACCTGAGCATTAAGGAACCATAGTTGGACATTAGATGTTGGCCTCTCTTTTGCAAAGTCACGGTAATTAACATTATGTCTGATCTAGCTGCGATTCCACATCTAGTTTTGGTTGCACACAGGACAGCAAGAAAGATGAATCCTTATCTACACACTCCACCACCAATACAATCAGATGAACAAGCCAATTCCACCTGTGAGAGTAAGGCCATATTTTTGCCTTCCTGCTGGCTAAGAACCCCAAATAGATTCTCAGCATCTTATCAGTACAGAATGAAGAATTCTTATGGTGGAGATGTTGCTTTAATGTTTTTATTAAGCACCTGTTACTGCTTCCATTTGCTCCTGATGCTTTTATCAATGATTGCTCTGGCATTCCATGTTGCTACATAATCTAAAGAGAAGGGATTACTTGTAGTAACCTCTCATCTACAATAAATTAATACAAAGATGCACCAGAAAGAGAGGATTCCTGAACCAACTAATACAACTTGAGTTTCCAATATGTAAAGATGCATAATAGTGGTAGGAATAGTGTATGTTAAGGCCACGTTGTAGGCTCATCTCTTAAGAGTCCAGAGGCCGTTGCAGAGCAGTTCTATGGCATTCTCTGTTTTATGCTTCTATTATGCATCTAGAGAAACCTGCATAACTATTGCTCCACTAAATCAGGAGGAGGAGGCATGAGATCTCGTGGGTTCAGCTGAGCAACAAGACAGACATCATAGCTGTCATGCATGAGAACATTGACGGCCACAACATTCCAGTGGTTTTCCCAAGTGTCCAGCTCGAGGATCTCTTTGGTGATAACTTCATACCGAGCTGCAACAACAAAAGACAAGGTTGAGAAAATCAATAGTCAACAAAGGAGCCCCGGAACCTAGTTCTCTCTTTGATGTAAATTATAACCCAAATGGTGCTTTCTGCTATATTCAGATTAGATGGAGATATGATTGTGATTGAAACATAGTTAGGAAACCCAAACACATCGTTTTAGTGGTGCAATTTGCCAGCTTGTGCTGATCCAGCTTAAGACTTTAAAAGGCTAAGTCCTTCTGTGTTATATCAGGATAATGAAAGGAAATCAGTAAGAACATTTGATTTATTTTCAGTTATTATATTTCTAATCAGAATAAATAATTCATTCTGCATTCATTATGAACCCAAGCTGCTTCTTTACTTTCACTAAGTATGGAAAATGTTTCTGGTTCCTGGAAACCTTTTGTACTGTTGCATCTTGTTCCCTGCTGTGAAACTAGTTCTGGTAGATCAAGCACTGCCAGAACTGTCCCTTGGTTTATGTTCTCCCATTGACAGAATCCCACTATAGAGACCAAGGTTGCGTCTATACTGGGCCTCCTTAGGGCTGCTGAAGCATTGCTTTTCCGCTGTCAGCTGGAAGTGCAATTAAAAGAGAAGCATCACATAGTACTTAATATAGTGCTATATCATTCAGACACACTCTTCCCTATGGTCAGTATGTTATCTAATGTTTACTTACAAGTGCATCCTGTTCAGCAAAGTCATCCTGCAACATTAATTAAAAGCTTCCTCCTAGCAAATTCTGCCTGTTTATGGCTCCCTGTTCATTAAAGATTAATGATAGGTTGTACTGTAATCAGTCATTGTCTGTTCTTTCTGGGAACTGGGCCTTTAGCTTTCTTCTCTCTCTCTCCCCACAATAACTTAGGTTTTCTTGGCTTATTTCTAACAGGAAATACTAAAAGGAGTGTAACATGACCCACGCATAACATATTAATTGCATGTCAAATAATCTAGCGTTATTCACATGTGATAAAAGGAATCTGATGTAAAATTTATTACATTGCAAAAACTAAAATAAACTATTTTACTATCCCATTTTTAAAAAAATCTAGTGGGTTACATTTCCCAAAGGCAAAAATGGAGTTTTATGGAAGAGGTCAGGACAGAAGCTCCTAATGAGAACTGATACCTGACTGTGGGCCCATTGCTTTGCTATGACTATGAAGTTCAGTTGTGTTTAACTGCATGACTCTGAAGAAAACAAAGTTCAAGGCATATGAGACAATTTCTTAGTATTCAGTGTGGTCATGAAAAAAGGAGGAAACTAAGATTAATCACCTCTGCATGGAGCTGCAAACAACATCAAACTCCACTATTTAGAATGAATGTCATTTTAGGAGCAGAGTTAGCAGAAGTTAGATCTGCATTAGAAAGTTATAATAACATAAGGATACGAGTTATCTTATATAATTTTGTGGTTACAGGTCAAATTAAAAGCATTTTCACATGTGAACATTCAAATAATTAAAAAAAAACACTTCAGAGTGGAATGATAGAAGTGGAATTGGTTGCAATGTGCATTTGATTTTTCTTCCAAATTCTCTTCAGAATTAGCAGCCTTCATATGTGACACAAAAAACTGAGAGAGACTCGAACAAGCTTTTGGTTTCCTGTAGATAAATGCCATCTGAGCTTCTGAAATGTGGGCTGCTTGTTTTCTGCAGGTACCACTGTTAAATAACCATGCCTTACACAGGGTGGAAACATTGTTAGTAAAACTTTCAGTGCCTCTCTTGTACTTTGTGTTTGGAACAACTGACAGATTTGACAGGAGCAGTTAGACTCAACCAACCCTGTTAAATAAAAGCCAGTGTTACAATGAGCAGCTTTTAGCTGTGGCTGAAAAATTGTACAGTAACAAAAGTGAATTTTACTTCAGTGTTCTTTTTTTTTAAGTGACAGGACAGAAGAGAGTTTTTTTTAGCATGGGAGCTGGGTTTTTTGACACTTGGTACAAAAAGCATTCTTCACTATAAAAGGAAAGCTCCTTACATTTCTCACTCCTTGTTCCTTTAGATTTCAAATCTCCCCACCTACCATCAAGATGCTTTAAGCCCAGCTTCTGCAAAACATGTGGATACGTTTTTCTTTCTACACACTTTGTTCTGAAGAATTGCTTCCTAGCATGATTAAAAGCTGAGACTGCAAAGGAGCCTTTTACTTGTGACAGAGAAAAAGCTCAAGCTATTTCGCACATCACACAACAACAAATTTGGGCTTGCTGTTGTATAACCTCAGCAGGGCCCCTCCTCCAATCCCCACTCAATTACTGGGGTTCCCAGACAAGGCACTTGTTTCTATATATCTGCTTCTTAAAGTTTCCTGTGTTCCCAGACTTCTGTGTGCTTTTTAGAACAAGAAAAGTCTCATGCTAAATTTGAAAATGCAACAAACCAAAGCCAAAGCCTCAAGAGAAGTCGCAAATTGGTTCTATTGCAGCTCTGCCATACCACCACCTTGAGCTTGGTATTTAGACGATACAGAAAGACAAACTCAAGGGGGTGGGGAAGTCGAAGGACCCACTTTCCCTCCATATAAGTAAGAAGACTCGGTTAAACAGCAGGTAAACTCCTCGCATAGAAAAGCCTTTTAAAGAGGAGACACTTCTCACGAGCTCATAAACGATGTAAACCACTTTGAGATCATTGTAAGGGATATAAATCTAATAAATCAATAAATAAACTTCCCTTTGTAACTAAAAATGCATTTTGCTATGCAGACAAAACCCGGAGGAGGTTTGTTCAGTTGGAAGCTGTATGACTTTTCAGTCTGCTTGACTTGCTACTGTCCATTGCATTTGATGGCTGTCAGATTGCTTTAGGCTAGAGTATAAATATTTAATCCACTTCTCCTTTCTTTGAAATCACATTCTGTATCTGGTTTACAGTTATTCCTGTGGTTCTAAACACAGATCACATCTTCTTTTAATTTTCTTTTTTCTTCTTTTTTTTGTAATGGAAAGATGTAATTATCAATAACAGCAATTTTAAAGAGAGGATTCCAACTTTCTACCAGTGCAATAGAAGTCATATAGATTTGTACATTCTTCTGTGTAAAGCCCTGCAGAACAGGATGTTGTTAAACTAGTAGGTGAAGAACCTGACTGCTTTCTCAAGCCTTGTTTTCGGTGTTAGGAGTTTGCCTGAGTCCCCTAACTGTGAAAAGTAACTAAAGAAATCTGCATAGTTGGGGTTGTCAAAAGTAGCTGTATATGATGATATACAAACTACACTATTGTGTGCCATGACCTATAGAAACAGCTGTGCCTTAACTGTCCAGACTGTATGGATCTAGCTCTGAAATTTGACAGAAGAGAAATAGAGAACAACTGGCGTGAGAAGCGTTAAACAGAAAGTTTATCGCACAGCTGGGAATGGTAAGATCTAGTAAGATAGATAAAATATGAGAGTAGTTAATGACAAAATGGTTAATAGTTGGCCATGGTAAGATCTAGCTAATGGTAAGATATTCGGCATCAGTGTTTCAGAATCCATGAACAGTGTTCTGCACTGGTGTTATTTTCCCATGATTGCCCTGCTAACCCCATCCCATTGTCCTGCATCATCTTTCCCTCTGTAAAATTCCAGCACTGCTCTTCTGCCTGCCTGCCTGCCTGCCACAGCCCCAACCTCTCCCCCGACTCTTCTGCAAGAAGCAGTGGCTGCCATGTGGGCGCTCTGGTCCAGCAAAGCGGGTATCACTCCCACAGGTAGGCCACCATCAGGGCAGTCTCTCCTAGGTCATGAGCGGCCGCTGCTGCATGCCATTTCACCTGTCCGGCTCAAGCAAAGGCATGGCTGCTGGTCCATTACGCTGGTGGAGAAGAGGGATCTTCAGCGAAAGAAGCCCTTCTCAACATAGAGCCACAATGGCAAGGAAAACACTGCTTGTGTGCAGCAGTTTGGAGTACAAAAGCCCGACCCGCTCCTGAATCTCGCATCCTTACCCTTAACTTTATTTGGTGTCACTAAGGTACCGGACAGCACATAGGTTGCCTCTCCTTCTCAGCGGTGCCCTGCCATTGAAACAACGGTTTGCCTCTGAATGAATTTGGGCAGATCAATTGATTCTTGTAATCCAAGCTCATTCGCTCAGTCTAGCCTTCCCTCCCTCTCTGCATGACTGCTACCAGGTTGCTATTGGAAATCAGAGTAGGAATTAACAGCATTCTCTCCCTGCAGTGCATCCCCTACATTTTCTTTGTATGCTAATGAAGCTGCTGACACTGGCTCAGGGCCAGTCTCACAACAGTGTGAAGGAGGATGTTTCTTTCCCATTACCCTTCAGGGATGAGTGTCTGAACGCTGCCACAGAACAAGACATATACACAGATGAGGCTTGCTTCCTTTTGCTGCCGTTCTGCTGCAACATGGGACTCACTCAACTCCCGGCAGGGAGCTTGATATTAGCACCAGAAGTCCTCAGCCTTCCTTTTGCATGCTGAGACCTTCAGTGGCAAGTGCTATTAAGGCTAATGTTATTGACTTGGAGAAGATACTTTGCTAGCATTTTTTCCCCATGCGCATGCTTTAAAGAGCTCTCTGTTATAGCTTCCTGTGCCTTAGAAGAATTTTTAGCCACGATGCCTAATTGACAGGCTGAAAAAACAAAGAGCTTAAAAAGGCCTAGTGGCAAAAGAAAATGAGTGAAATAAGGAAATTCTGTGGCATTGAACCAACGTACAGATAGTCCCCAGGTAACAAACATCCAGGTTATGAACAACCTATACCTGTGAACGCACAGACCGCCATAAACCCTATATGAATATCTTTCACCTGAAGCTGTGAATATCTCTAGGGAACTAAGTGACATGTTTGGCGATGCATTATCAGTGGCCGCAGTGGTTTCCTAGAGATGTCCACAGAAACCTATTTCCTTAGACCAAATGTTTTCACCTTCTCCAACAAGCTCTTCAACACCTCAGACAACATGTTAAGCCTTGTGCTCCTCAGGAAGTGGAAGTTCAAGAAATACTCAGCCAGTCCTGCCCCTGTCCC